CAGCGAGAGCAACCTAGAATCAACGGGAAGTCATCAAATACATGAAGGTGCCATCTCTTCGGATGGGGAAGATGCGTTTTGTGCCGTAAACCACTTCTCAAGAACACGTGAATTTTGTCAGCGACAAAATTTGTACAGCATACATGTATTTGTGGTTACCCGTTTAGTCTGTATAGTCTGTACATTACCCCAACCGTGCTTACCTCCTTCGTACACATCATTATTTTCTTTAACCAAACTTTTATTATACGGAGGCGGCCTCTCATAGCTGACGGCGTCGTAGGTGTCGAGAAACCAAGGGATTTGTCCTTAACAAGGACTCCTTATCATCAGACAAGAGACTTCTCGATTAGACCTGACAATTGAGATAAACTTGTGATGAATACAATCTATCCAACCGTTCATGCGAAATGAAGAAAAAAAAACGCACGTAAGCTAGAGTTACTTGGGATATGTAGGGATGAACGAGCCCATGTAAACTGACCACTAACTGCACTAGCTTTTTGCAGTATAACAGCGCGACCCAAGTTTTACCCTTTTAAGTCAGCCTACAAGCTACAACTATATTTGCTACACACTAACAAACAGTTGGCAAGCAGGTGTACCAACAATAGAGCAAGCATCTGCCCCAACAAATGACTTTACCTACGTTTTATTAATCATCTTTTAAATCAGAGCTAAAACTCATTTCCCGTATTTTGAATTGTTTAATTCAAAATACGGAAAATGAAGGGGATACGTTTTACTTGTAGTACAAAGCTATTTAAAGCAGCAATCACTTGAAAGCTACAAGAGTGTTGTATTTTTATTTTCCCACCTAGATGTCCTGATACCCGTAAATCGTCGTAGTTAACGAGGAAAATCATTGCGCACACACTTAAGGAAATATAGTAGTGATATTTAATGATTGCGTACACACACTTAAATTAATATAGTAGTGATATTTAATGATTGCGTGCACATATTTGGGAAATATCACACGTATATGCACGCAATCATACTTATTTTGTCGAACATATCGACATAACAAACGGCAATTTGTTTGGTGAGTCCTTAATCGGCGATCCTTAAAATCCAGTAATTTCAAGGTAATTAGATGTTTTAAAACCTGATTGATGTGTTTAACTCGTAAGGGATCTTTAAAACCATACTGAGGGCAAGCAGGTTTAAACTAGTTACGGGGTGCTTGCTTTTCATCAATAAACTGTTTAAATGAACTGTTTGGTGGGGCCATGTTTTGGTCTCACCCTACTACTATAAAGTAAAAGGCCTCTCAAGGTACTACTATTACACTAGTAGGACATGCCACCACAGCCTTGTGTACTCATGAGCAAATGATATTACATGTTAACTTGTAAGATTCGCCACGTCTGTTGATCGGCCCTGTTTCAAAGTGTGTGAACGATCGAAATCACGTGTATTTCT